CATAGAAATCAATAAAGAAGCAGAAAGTATACATAGTCCATCAGTCACCTCTACATAAAGGTATAACTTCTTCATGTTGGTATTGTATTATTGTATTCACTTTTTTTAGTCATAACTCATGAGACAAAGGCTAATCGATGAAGCAATTCAAGACAGAAAACAATAGATAACTTATTTTATTTTTTGTGATTTTTAATATTAAATTTAAAATTATTATAGTGATTAATTAATAGTAATAACAATGAATATATAATGAGTTCAGTCATGAATCACTCCCGTATACGGAGTGATACAGGAAGATTTACAGAATGTAGCTATCCCGTAGCTACGGTGATGATACTGTAATTGCCAAAAGTTGGTGTATCTTAAAGATATACGGTATCTGATACATAACTGATATCTTAACTGATACAGAAAAAAATTCTTGGCTGTGTATGTAGTATCTATGCTCAACTCCTCCATTTGCAAAATCCTAGATCCGCCCCTGTAAATGTATACCTACATGTAGATGCAGGCTATTATTAGTAACAACTAACAAGGCTCCTACACTACTACATACTATTTTTAGTAACAAGGTTCCTACAAACAGTTCTAATAATAGATTTACTTTGTATGCTTCCTCTTCTTCTCTATAAATAGGATCAATTTTAGCAAGAAAAGGAATGAATTCTGCTGTGGTTAATGGACGCTTTCGAAGCCAAAAAGAGCAAAAAAGAAATTATAAAATTTAAAATTACTATTATTATTATTATTATTGTTATTATTATTATTATGACAGAAAGACACTGCAGACAAAAGGGGACAAAAAGGAGGACCCTGTACATAAAAAGAAAAAAGAAACAAATTAACATAAAAAAACTACATGTACATATACAATAAAAACAAAGTTAAATGAAACCATCTACCACTGATGGAGGGGTACGTGTATTATTATTACTATTATTATTATTGTTATTATTAAACAAAAGCAACAACAGCAGGGAATTGAACAAAACAAAACAAAGAAAACACTGGACAAGCAAAGAGAGACAAAAAAAAGAAATTAATAATAAAATAAAATCAAATGAAAATATAGTTCTAATTAAGTAGTTAATTTAAAAAACTGAGGTTGATACCATTTCCATCCTCCATACCGATCCCCCGCCATTTATTATTATTATTATTATTATTATTATTATTATTATTAGAAAAGTACAATATTTATAAATAAAACAGGTTGAAATGCATACACTTAGATGTAGAAAAATATGAAATTTAAGAATGAAAGAAAAGTTAGAATAATAATTTAAATAAAATAATATATTTGAGTGGGTTAGGACAT